CTTCTTTCTCTTTTCTTCTTCTCTTCTTCTTTTCTCTTCTTCTTCTTCTTCTTTCTTCTTCTTCTTCTTCTTCTTCTTCTTCTTTCTTCTTCTTCTTCTTTTCTTCTTCTTTTTTCTTCTTCTTTCTTTTCTTATTCTTCTTTTTTTCTTCTTCTTCTTCTTCTTCTTTTTCTCTTCTTTCTTCTTTTTCTTCTTCTTCTTTCTTCTTCTTCTTCTTTTTTCTTCTTCTTCTTTCTTCTTTCTTCTTCTTCTTCTTCTTCTTTTCTTCTTCTTTCTTCTTCTTCTTCTTCTTCTTCTTTCTTCTTCTTTCTTTTTCTTCTTCTCTTCTTCTTCTTCTTTCTTCTTCTTCTTCTCTCTTCTTCTTCTTCTTTTCTTCTTCTTCTTCTTCTTTTCTTCTTCTTTTTTCTTCTTCTTCTTCTTCTTCTTCTTCTTCTTCTTCTTCTTCTTTTCTTCTTCTTCTTTTCTTCTTCTTCTTCTTCTTCTTCTTCTTCTTCTTCTTCTTCTCTTCTTCTTCTTCTTTCTCTCTTCTTCTTCTTCTTCTTCTCTTCTTCTTCTTTTTTCTTCTTCTTTTTCTTCTTCTTCTCTTCTTCTTCTTCTTCTTCTTCTTCTTCTTCTTTTTTCTTATTATTCTTCTCTTCTTCTTCTTTTCTTCTTCTTCTTCTTTTCTTTTCTTTCTTCTTCTTCTTCTTCTTCTTCTTCTTCTTCTTCTTTCTTATTCTCTCTTCTCTCTTCTTCTCTTATTCTTTTCTTTCTTCTTCTTCTTCTCTCTTCTTCTTCTTCTTCTTCTTCTTCTTCTTCTTCTTCTTCTTCTTTTCTTCTTTTTTCTTCTTCTTCTTCTTCTTTCTTCTTCTTTTTTCTTCCTCTTATTCTTCTTCTTCTTTTTCTTCTTCTTCTTTCTTCTTCTTCTTCTTTTCTTCTTCTTTCTTCTTCTTTTTTCTTCTTCTTCTCTTCTTCTTCTTCTTCTTCTTTTCTTCTTTCTTCTTCTTCTTCTTCTTCTTTCTTCTTCTTCTTCTTTTTCTTCTTCTTCTTCTCTTCTTCTTCTTCTCTTCTTCTTCTTCTTCTTCTTCTCTTCTCTTCTTCTTCTTCTTCTTCTTCTTCTTCTTCTTCTTCTTCTTCTTCTTCTTCTTCTTCTTCTTTTTCTTCTTATCTTCTTCTTCTTCTTTTTCTTCTTCTTCTTATTCTCTTTCTTCTTCTTCTTTTCTTTTTTCTTCTCTTCTCTTCTTCTTATCTTCTTCTTATTCTTCTTCTTCTTCTTCTTCTTCTTCTTCTTCTTATTCTTCTTCTCTTTCTTCTTCTTCTTCTTCTTCTTCTTCTTTCTTCTTCTTCTTCTTCTTCTTCTTCTTATTATCTTCTTCTTCTTCTTCTTCTTCTTCTTTCTTCTCTTCTTCTTCTTCTTCTTCTTCTCTCTCCTCTTCTTCTTCTTCTCTCTTCTTCTTCTTCTTCTCTTCTTTCTTCTCTCTTCTCTTCTTCTTTCTTCTTCTTCTTCTTCTTATTCTCTCTTCTTCTTCTCTCTTCTTCTTCTTATTCTTCTTCTTTTCTTCTTCTTCTTCTTCTTCTTCTTCTTCTTCTTCTTCTTCTTCTTCTTTTTCTTCTTCTTTCTTCTTCTTCTTCTTCTTCTTCTCTTTTATTCTTCTTCTTCTTCTTCTTCTTCTTCTTCTTCTTCTTCTTCTTACTTCTTCTTTCTCTTCTTCTTTTTCTTCTTCTTTCTTCTTTTTTCTTATTCTTCTTCTCTTCTTCTTCTTCTCTTTTTCTCTTCTTCTTTTTTTCTTTCTTCTTCTTCTTCTTCTTCTTCTTCTTATTCTTTTCTTCTTCTTCTTTTTTTCTTCTTCTTCTTCTTCTTCTTCTTCTTCTTTTCTTCTTCTTCTTCTTCTTTCTTCTTTTCTCTTCTCTTCTTTTTTTTTCTTCTTATTCTTATTCTTTCTTCTTCTTTTCTTCTTCTATTCTTCTTCTTCTTCTTCTTCTTCTTCTCTTCTTTTCTTCTTCTTCTTCTTCTTCTTTTTCTTCTTCTTTATTCTTCTTCCTCTTTCTTCTTCTTCTTCTTCTTTCTTCTCTCTTCTTATTCTTCTTCTTCTCTTCTTCTTCTCTCTTCTTCACTTTCTATTCTTCTTCTTTCTTCTCTTCTTCTTCTTCTTCTTCTTCTTCTATTCTTCTTCTTCTTATTCTTCTTCTTTCTTCTTCTCCTTTATTCTTCTTCTTCTTCTTATCTTCTTCTTCTTCCTTCTTCTTCTTCTTCTTCTTCTTTGTCTCTTCTTCTTCTTCTTCTTCTTCTTCTCTTCTTCTTCTTCTCTCTTCTTCTTCTTATCTCTTCTTCTCTTCTTCTTCTTCTCTTCTTCTTCTTCTTCTTCTTTCTTCTTCTCTCTTCTTCTTCTCTTCTTCTTCTTCTTTTCTTCTTCTTTTCTTCTCTCTTCTTCTTCTCTTCTTATCTTCTTCTTCTCTCTTCTTCTTATTCTTCTTTCTTCTTTCTTTCTTCTTCTTCTTCTTTCTTCTTATTATCTCTTCTTCTCTCTTCTTCTCACTTCTTCTGTCTCTTCTCACTTCTCCTTCTTCTTCTTCTCTTCGTCTTCTTCTCTTCTTCTTCTATCTTGTTCTTCCGTCTTCTTCTCTTCTTCTTCTTCTTCTTCTTCTTTCTCTTCTTCTTCTTCTTGCTTCTTCTACTTCTTCTTCTTCTTTCCTTATTGTCTCTTCATACTCCTCTTTGTTAGTCTCTGTCGCCTCTTCTTCTGTTCTCCTTCTTCTTCATAAGCGTTCTCTTCTCTCTCTACTCTGTTACTGCCTCTTCTTCTCCTTGCTTCTTCATCTCTTCTTCTTCTTCTTAGTCTCCTTCTTGCCCTTTCTCGAAGGTTTCTTTTCAAGAGTACATCACTTCTTTATCTTCTTCTTCTTCGCGTTCACAACCTGTACACTCTGGTGGAAAGTTCTGGTTGTTCATCCCCTTTAGACTGCAGTCCTGTTCCAGAGCCTTAGTGTTGAGTGAGCATCCGTTTTACAGACATGACTCATTTATATGCAGACTGCTGGATCCTTGCCTCTCAGGCAGTTACACTCCGACTTTGAAAGAAGCTCCCAATTAGTCGGCTCATGGCATGCTTTTGGGTAGGCAGAAAGTCTATTCTTGTTTAACCTATAATAGGGCCCCGGAACCCAGACGAGGAAAATGACATTCACAGTGATTTACTTCAAAGAACACATTGATACCGATTAACGTAATAATATAATTCCCCAATGTTAATATCGACATGTGTAGATAGCAAACATTTTGGTTACTCCTAGATTTTAATCCTAATTACTATTGCACATTCACAACAATTAATGTCTTTAGTTAATATTGCAAGGGGAAAATAAAATACTCCGGGCAATATCGCAACTATTAGAAAACGCACTTTAAACTTGCAGGTATGGTTGGAGCCGTTGGGATTTCAAACCTGCAATTTGTAGATCTCAACTCATCAAGAAATCTGTTTGTTTTTGGCGTGTCCATGTTTTTTGGGTTAAGTGTGCCCACGTGGATGACCAACCACCCAGAAAGTATACAAACAGGTAAGAAAAATTGTTTGACGTTGTGGTATTATTATAATCCCTACTAAATGATGTTACCAGTTTTTTTTAACTAATAAATGGCAATGTTTCTTTGCTTAACGAGTATAAACGATCAATATTTATTTTTAACTTAGTTTTTACCTTCATACAATTCAGAGCCGTCCCTGTGTGCGTCATTACCATATATAATTGTGTCTTTTAAATGCGTGTGTCTGTGTGTGTACGCGTAAAGCCGACCTCTACTACGATATAAAAATACGTGCCAGCGGGAAAAGAATGACCCAGGTATTCAGGGGGAATCTTTGGAACAAAATGCCATGGGCTGTGTTGTGTGGAAGGGACACATCAGGAAGGGAATGAGGATGAGCGAAGAAAGGACTGCAAAAAGGATGAGACCTGAGGGTCTGAAAAGAAACAAACTAAATGCAAATGTAAACAAAAATGGTCATCAAATCCCATGCTATACCCGTGAAAGACTGTTCCTAATGCAGACGGGTCTTGGTAGTCACACTCGCCATCGCCATGGGGTGGGAGTCCTATGCCCCCTCATAGCACAATAAAACACTGTCGTCTGGAAAGTCGGAAAGGTGCCGATGGAACCAGTGTAGTGATGTTTCATTGAATATAAATATTTTCTGTGACAGGAAATCATATTGCAAATCAAGTCATACAAGTTCTTACAGGTACCAGCATGTTTGTTGGAGGAGTCTTGGCTTTTATACTGGATAATACAGTGCCAGGTAATAAGATCTTCAGTAGCGTGCTCATTCAGTCGTTGACAAAGTATGCATTTGTGAATTCCTGAATTTTCTAGGGTCTTTGTCATAGCCATAACCTTCTTTTTAATGCTGCTGGTGGTAGAAGCAAAGGCTCCACTGTCTTCTTTGGTGACATTTTCTTTAGTTCTTGCCGTGACGAATCACAGAACGATCTGTATATATAACCATGTCTTCCAGTGATTTCCTTTCTGCATCAACGGATGTTGGCGCCAAATCCCTGCATTGTCTTGTTAGGATGCTAACCATCACATAGTACTGCTTGGTAAAGGTTTTGAGGAAAAGGGAAAGCGGAGAGCAAAGTAATAAATTCATGGATGGCTTGATTATATGGATGAGGAGAGACTAGAACACTGCTAGCTTATAATGATCATGTGAGATGCGAAATAAAATTTGTTTTAAATAGAGAGTTTAAAGAGACAAGAACACTGCTTGATTCTAATTAGCTTTTCAGATGATAAAACATGTGTTTTTAATAAGGAGTTGAGTATGTGTCGATCACTTGATTGTTTTTCCCTATCAGGTACTATAGAAGAACGTGGACTTCACGAATGGAAGAAAGTCACCGCTGCACAAGCTGAAAACGTTGGCAAAACATATGATATCCCGTTTATACAAAAGTATCTAGACCGGATTTCTTGTTTCAGGTATGATTTTATTCAGACATTAGTGAAGAAACAGACGTGAACCTGCATGAAAGAGAATGTGCACTTATAAATGTCAATCATAAGTTTATGCTATGTAATCTACCCCTATTCAGTCTTTTGTGTACACAAGTGTTGCCTCTCTGTCATATATTGTTTTCTCTGTAGCTATTACTTTCTATTAGCCCTCATGATGTGAGTGAGCAGTAGCGATTTAAACAGCTGATGGATTTCGTTGTTGCTTTTCACTCCATTTTCCCCTGTTTGCATCATTAGTATTAAAAAAAAAAAAAAAAAATTAAATATTCAAACAGTATTATTCCTTGGTTTGAGGTTTGAACAACAGACCAACATCATGGCAAACGGGTAATAACCCATAAGTGCTCCGTTCTTCTTCTAACTCAAGTCCGAGTCCGAAGAAGATCAGCACAGTGCACAGGCTCTGTAGCACCGACTTTCTCGGTATTAAGCATTTAGTTTAAATTTGCAAATTTAATGTTAGTAATGCTAAGATGCGTTTTAAAACTGTATGCACCATATATGTGTTTCATCAATACTGTCTAACTTTTCGCACTTCAGAACAACAGTTTTTGAATCTTAGGGAATTAAATTAGTAGAAACTGAAACGTGAGAAGCTGAAGTACACATCGTTAGGTCGCAAGTAACAGAAGAATGGCAACACTTGTATTGACACATGTACAAACATATGCAATTCATCACATCTTCTTCTTCTTCAGCATTCCGAGCCCTTGATGTTCATAGCTGCAGATATCACCTGCCTCCATTCATCTCTTTGGTTGGCCTTCTCTTTCCAGATGGTAATACCAAATTTTTGCTGGTCTGTCTGGATATTATCTCTCCATCGTCTTCTTGGTCTCCCTTGCGGACTACTATAGTTTCTCCCTTGTGTATACAGTTTTTACTTCTCTGTCATCTGACCTTCTTTCAATATGCCCAAACTATTTCAGTCTAGCTTCTAGTTCCCCTGATACCAATGATCAGTGTTGATTTAAACAATTTATCACATGGAAACATTAAACAGAACAATGCATGATTTGTTAAAATAAAAAACAGCACCCCATGACCTGGATCCTACTTTAGATAATATCAACACATACCTACTCACGCACTCTCTCTCTCTTTCTCTCACTCTCACACACACATACACACACACATACACACACACACACTCACACACTGAATTACCAGCTGGAAAGAGAGTGTCGATTAGAGAGATTACTGTAGGCGTGTGATATCTACAGCTATAAACCTCAAGGGCTCGAATTGGTAAATAATATTTTTAAAAAATTAATTTTTAAAAACTGTATTCACTCAAGCATACTAACATACGGCTACGCTATTCACAGGTATGTCCCGTTTTGCCCTGGTTCTTTTCTGGACAAGAAACGATCCAATGCAGACTACGTCACAGATGTAGATGTTATATCTAAAAATGGCACCGAAAACCGGGTTTATGAGCCTGATCACTCTGCAGACAAGTACGAGAGAGTGAACACACGAGTTTAAAATATACCGACTTATACATTATGTGAATAAATTATCATCATCATGTAGCAGGTCTTTTGCAGAACGTAGCTCTCATCACAGTCTGCCTGAAAGAAAGTAGGTCTCTCGCCAGTTCTCCCGCCTCATGTACTTTGATACACAAGGAGTCACTTATATCCTGTGCCCATCTTCGTGTCGGTGGACCCCTGCCCCTCCTTCCTGGTACCATGCCTTCTGCTATATATTTTATTCCTTTTTAGTTCTCTGCCAACTATGCTAAGTTTTTTTTGTTACATGCTTCTAACATTTCATGCTCCTAACTTTAGAGTTTTCTTTAGAGCTGTGACAGAGTTTTATGTTGTAGTACCGTCGGGCTTAAAGCCGTCATCACAACTACCATTGCTTGCTCAGCTAGTTCGCGTTTGTGATCTGCCTGGCATAGGGGCCCTCACCATCTCATTTTTGAGTTTAATTTTTGACTTCCATGATGAGTTTCTTGGGATAGTAATGTGGTAGTTTCCTGTTGCTTTCCTCATCAACGTAGCTTTAGACAATGTCCTCAGCCTTCAGCAACCTTTCGATTGCTATGGCAAGTGAGTGCCTTGCTCAGTGATGCTCCTGCTAACAGCAGAGGGCACCCCAGTGGTGTCCACTTATCCTGGCGGATTCTCGGTCCCCAAAGCTGGGTTGGCCACACCGCAGTGTGTTTACCATCCTCTACCGCGTAGAGGTGCAGTTCGTGTTTTCCCTTTACTGACTCTTGAGACCAGAATGGCATTTCCCAAAACTCTTTAGTACTTTCAGAGGACTTGTGTATAAATTATACGACTTAAATTAACAAGCCTACAAAAAAACTGCTGATAAAAAAAATATTGTATGTCAGTGTGACGTGACGCAGTGCGTTTATGTTTTATAAGTTGAGTAGTGATTTTCCTCTCAACACATTCCCTCCACCAGATTAACCGAACTAAAATCTGAGCTATGTTGCTCTCAGACAAAGTCCTGGATATCCAAGAAAACAGCCATATTGGCTCGTTAATTACTTTAACACAAGCTGCACTTGGTACCCACAAGAGAAGGAAAGGAATTTCAGATGTCTATAGCATTATACTGAATGAATTATTAGACAGGGCAAATGATTCCTCCGTCTTACCTTCTCCCGGTAGTATTGTTTAATGATTAAAGAATTATTATCATATTATTTGAGCTCCACCAAATGTAATTATATCTATCAGTTTAGTTAAACAGGTAAGACTGAATACACTTGGAATTTAACAAACGATGTAGTATAAAACTTGACAAACAGCTTTATTTACTAACAATGATTTGAATAATATTTCCCAGTTTGTTGTGTTTACACAAACAGTGACTGGTTAATGTTATGATAGTGATGAGATGCTTCAGCGAGAAAACAGCACCTGGGATTAGATCGGTGTGATGAAGGTGATAACGTATGAACAATTTATGACATGACTTAGTTATCATAGAACCTCTGACAGCCGTGAGCACTGTCAAGCTCTTCCTCCTCTTCCAGCTTCTTCCCTGCTTGTTTTCTGCCTGTTTCAGCTTAGTCTCCACTTCATTCTCCACCTCGTTCTCCACCTCGTTCTCCACCTCGTTCCCAGCTGGCCGAGTCTAACACAATGTAGTCTCCTTCATGGACTGATCGTCACATGGGCGCTGTAATCATGGAAACAAACACATACGTGTAGTATCTTGACTTACACTAAGAATACATGTATCAATTAATAACACATAATAACAAAATATATCCTATCACTCCTCCTCATATTCCACATTCTCTCCAGTCTAGTCTGAAGGTCTTTTGTCTCACATATCCTGCCTTCCCTCTCATGCTCTGTCATGATAGTTGACTTTCTAAGTCTGTTGTCCGTCATCACTCAGACTTCCAACTGGCTGACATTGATTTGACATAAACATGTGGCGCAGGTTATGTGCTGAACACGCAAAACATTTTATGTGTGCATGCTGTCCTGAATATTATCTTTCAGTGACAGTGAATTCTATACACCCATCATTCTTCCCCTGGGGTTATAAATCCCCTGTGTAGGCGAACACATTTAGTGAGCACATGGTGGGCACACAAAACATAACAGCATCCCTGCACATATTTGGGCATCATTTCCCCCAGTCCAAACTCATGTTTTGGTTGATGGTTGAAACATTATAATTTCATTATAATTCAGTATACAAGTCTTTTTTTATAAACTTGAAAACGTACACTGAAAAACATGTGACACACACATTCAAGAAAAAGGAATGGTTTAGCAGTTCCCTAACGGAGATACTGAAAGAACTATTTCAAGCAGAATGTGCAGACAAATTAGGAAAGGTAGAATAGGCTTTAGCTAATTCCCTAACCTATGTATAAAAGATTGAAAATAATATTTACTCATACCTGGGAACTTTCCAGCAATTGCCAAACACTACTTAACCAGTGAAAAAATACTTTTCTACGGTAGGTCTGAGTCTGTGGCCTGCTGGCGGCACTATGAGGTAAATCTTCAATGCTCGCAGTATAAGTATCAATCCAAATTAAACTCCTCCCTTTACTCGGTTCTACCCAACCCTCCAGGAGATGACCTAAGCCACGCCTCTGAAGTACCTAGCAGATCAATCTAGCTATCAAGTGGCCTGTCACTCAAGGTGAACGGCCTTGACCGATGTTTGGACAACTTAATCGGCAGACACCTGTTCTCCTGAGAATTTCACTTACACGTGTGAATCTCAAGACCCTGGTCGCCACAATGTCTACCAGTCCACCTAATTCCCCTGATCTAGTCTGTTCAAAAGAGCCCCACTCAGTCGTGTTAGGTAACCTTTATGACACTAAGGTTCAGCTCAGGGAAGCCAATCTCAGGTGTGATAATAAGCTCCCCTTTTGCCGGCCCTTACAGACTGGTTAGGAGATAGCCCCGGTGTAAAATTGCGTAACATTACCCAAGACTCAGTCGCTTTGTCTGGACTAAGGACTGGAAACATTTAAATCAATTTGGTTTTAAGTAATATTAGGGTAAAGGGCATAGTAAACATAATTCTTTCTCTCAATAACCAGAAAAACCTATTACAAGTACTTAACTTCTGGAACCACTCAGATCGTTTCGTGACAGTCAGGTGTGTAATCTTTCATCCTTACGAAGACTGTGAGTGTTTAGTGAAGTAATGTTTCGAAAGTAAAGAGTGTCAAACTGTTTGTTACTAGCATGTGTGTGCGTTTACGAATATTGACAGGATATTCAACTGAAGTCAGAACGCATGAACTATTTTGAAGGCAGAAAGAATATTTAAATGTTTTAATTAGCGTGCATTTACAATTAAAATGCAAGAATATGTCACTAATTGTTTTAAACTATGCCATCTGAGACTATAAAGAAAGAAAGTAAATTTTAAGGACACTTCGATTATTAGCAAACTGTTACCATAATGTTCTTGGTCTAAAAAATGTATAGTGAAAAGAAAGTGGAACTAACACTATAGCATAGAAAGAACTATAATAACAGGTTGACTAGCACTTGT